TTTATTTTTGAGGATTAATTTTTTTAATTTAAATTTCTCTATCATTTGACTTAGCTTTGTTAAACGGATGGAGATATTAAAAAAGGCGAGCTGACGTACAGTAATTAGGGCAAAGGTTTTATAAAAAAAAAAAAAAAACTTTCTAAATCATTACGTTCAAGAATTTAATATGTTCATTACAGGGCCTAAATAACTTTGCAAATGCTAACGGTAAACCAACTAAACACAAAACCCCACCACCAGTCTATCCATCCAACCAATGACATTTCCCACATTTCTACACATATGAAGGGGCCAAAGACGTCTCGTATACATGTGTGTATCATGAAGAGTGTTTTTTTTAAAAAATAATTTGTCCATTCGACTTAATAAGCCTGTTCGCGCAATAAAAAAACCAAAACAACTACATTGTAATAATACAGAATAGAGAATCACCCTCCGTTTTTAGAAAAAAAATAAGAAAATCTATATTTTTGGAAATCTTTTTTTTTAAATATTTGTAACATAGCTTTAAAAAATATGTTTAAATGTTCAGACCCATTTTTTTTTGGGTTGGTACAGCCAGACCATGATTGGTGTTTTACCTACACTTAGATTTGGCCGGGTGAATAGGCTGCATGTCCAGGAGACCAATTCCTTGATAATACTGCAAGACTTTGAGACTTGAGGGCTGCAGTTCGAATGTGTATGTGAAAACTTTAGTCACATTCATCAGTCGGATGTACTCAAACCACTCGACCAGCTTCTCGGGGTCAAGGACGTCGTAGGAGATCTTCAGACAGATCCCGACTGTGCCGGCCTCTCGTTGAGGGTAGATGATCCTAATGAAGTCATTGTTAGCCCTAAGACAGGACGTCTCTGCGAATGTGACGTAACTGAAATTCGCGCAGCCGATGGTGGACAGCTGATTGTTGGAAATGGAGCAGGAGAATTCCGCGTTCTGCATGTCGACCACCCACTGGTCGTAAATATGGTAGACGTAAGACTGCACCTCCGTAATGATGTCTTCCGGGTCACCGCCGGGCAAGGATCTGATCAAACAACACTTGAAGTTCATGTCCGACTTGTGACGTCCCCAGCCGTTGAGGAACACGTTGAAACCTCCTCTGGCCGGGAAGTCTGGGTAGTGGACAGCTGTCGTCAGAAACACTTCGAGTTCTCCAGGCTGAACATTGTCGCCAGGTGGCGCTATGTGAAATCTTTTTTTTACGCCATCTGCTTTTTTTTCTTCAGAGTTCTAAAAAAAAGTTAAATTTTTTTGTTACATAAATATATATTGTAGACATAATTCAAATCATCTCCACCCATCAAAAGTAAAACACTCTAATCTTTTCAATCTTCAAAAAGTTTTCAACACGTCTCCGTGAAACTAAAACATTCTCATATAGTCTTGGGTAAGGGTTTGTACACTTATAACTACCATTATGCCGGTTATTTTACGAAATCGTGTGCGTGAAGATTGCTCAACTATGACAAACCGCAACTAAACTTTGAAATAAAGCGATTTAAAGACGTACACCGATAAGTAAGATTTCTTAACTGGTCTTTATCATAACTATTGCATAACGTAGGAATAGTAGCAAAGTTTTTGTTTTAAAAGGGGGTGATGGTATTCGAACACTTTTTGTAGATCAGCATCATGTTCACGTCCCTCAATCCAATAACTGTAGCCATTTAAAGGTGTTTGCAAGTCCACGTTGTCACTTTACACATTCTGTAAACATTTCAGTTGCAGAGTCACCAGCAACAAAGTAGAATAGACTTTAACTGAGAAACATGCCTTTTACCTTTTTTTTTAAAAAAAATAATGTTGGAGAATTTTAGTCTTTTAAAAAAAATCCATGAGTTCATCCCAAGTCGTTACTAGCATTGCATTCATTAGTAATATATATATATACATACGTTTGATGTAAGAAGCCAAGAGAGACTACGCATAACTTCGCACATTTCCCTCTACTGACAAACAGCATTTAAAGAACACATGTTAAATAGATTTCAAGTTCTCGTAAAATATTTAATGTTTCAACAGTGCGTAGCTTCACTTATAGTTGTTTTTTTTTTTAAACGTCACGACGACAGCTGTTTACCTCGTCATCTCCTGCATGCCAGTAACTGACTTGATGACCTGCAAAGTACAAGGTGGTCAGATAGCGCCGGAGACTGTTGGGAACAAGAAAGAAAAAAAACAACAATTGACAAGACTAACGCTATAATGCGTGGGTCAATTTAATGTCACTGTTGAACGTGCGCCACTAAGTTGTGTTTTAACTATGGAAATACTTTTTTTGAAAGCATTAACCCGTTCCCGCTTCCATGAAAGGTCGCTCCTTGAAATGGACATGTAGCGCGCCACAGTCTTCCCTTAAAACATTGAGATACATTTATTCCTTTTTATTTAATATTTTGACGTTGAAATTTAGTAATGGCTATGCCGTTTTCTTTATTTGTAACACGTTTTATTATGTTAATTCATATATTGTCATATCCCCATCTCCCCAACGAGATTGTCTACACAGGGCAAGAAGGATACAGCTGCTTCCAATCCGAGTTGGTAAAGAAAGTGGAGTGGGGAGGGGGGCAGACGTCTTTAAGGGAGATGTTCAGTTATCACATCATTTTTACCTCTCTTGATCATGTTGGGCATAGAACTCAAATCCACAAGTTTATAAAAATGACTTTTTTTTTTTTTTTTTTTTTTTTTTTTTCATTCATCCAATAGTCTAACCAAAGTTTTTTAAGTTTAAGAGTTAAAACTGAAAACATAATTATAGGCCAAACTTAAAAGTCCTGTTTGGAAAAATCTTTGGTTTTGACAATTAATTTTTTTGGCTGAAATATAATAAGAAAGGAACTGTCAACGATATCCTAACAGATTTTAACTGTCACAGAATTTACCCAGGCCGGGGGGGGGGAGGAGGAGAAGGAAGAGAGAGGCTTCCACCATTCATTGGTATAGACGCCCCTGCTCCCCAAAATTCCTAAATTTTCACTACCCACTGTCCCATTTTTGTTTCTATACAAACCCAAAGAGTTTACCTTGTGACGGTAATAACGAAGATGATGAAGGCAATCAGGAGACTTGCCTTCAGTACGAGTTTCATTCCTGTCATAGAGATAGGCAAGCAGTTTAAACTTCACATAGATTCACAAGAAGTTTGAAATCATATAAATGGGTGACGCAATTGAAACGTTATATAGATAGGTTAAACTTTATTGTAGGACTCCAAAAGCTGCTGATGTGTTTATATGATCGCTTAAGATGAATAGCCGAAAACTAAAATAATAAGTGTTGAAATGGTAGTTCAAATTTGAAAACAAATATTGCTGGCGTTCTTTCAGTTGTCTTTAAGGAACATGACTGCACCATGGAGCAATAAACTTTAAAGTGTTTGGTTAGAGGTTACTCCCTAAATTTTTACACCTTTTTTTCCCCTTCCCCTTACCTCATATCTTCTATGTCTCACAATGTTAGAAAATGTACAATAACTCAATAGTATACACCATTTCTTGAATCTAATTATATACAACTAGAATATATTACCCGATGTTATCGAGATAATAATGGCAGGTCCTTTGCGATCATTTCAACCTGCTAATGCAAAAAATCATCACAATTCTAACTTCAGAAAGAAGCATCTATCATTTAATGCCCATAAACTACTTTTTTCCCCTTTTAAATATGACCTTAAATTACTCAGTCTAAATTATAACTAACTAAATCACTTGTGTCACTAAGGAAGTTAATTGATGAATGATTTCTACGCTAGGGAAATACTTCAGATCTACCCCTTTACGTGTCTTTACACTGCAACTCTTTTTTCTCTCTAAAAATTATGAAAGCATAATATTAAATGTATATCAAAAACTCTATATATGACATAAATATATTTGATATTAAAGGCTGTTGATGTATTAATATCTTCATTAAAAATTTAAACAAACTTTTGCCTTTTAAAAAAAGAATTATACATAATCAGAAAATCGTAAAACAAAAATTTGGTTTATCTAAAGAAGAATCTCGCAGCCATGGGCGCCCGCAGGTAGGGGCAAGGTGGGGCACTTCACCCCCCCCCCCGATTGTTTGGATAAAAAAATTCTGGACAAAAATAGACAACAAATTTATGAAAGTAAAGAGAAAATAAAGAGAAAGTAACTAAGCTGATGTCCTGTCCGTTCGTTCCCCATACAAATACGCTACAGTAAATTAAAACTACATTAAAACATTACTAAAATTTTTTGCCCCCCCCCCCCCTGAAAAATTAATCGATTTTTTTGCCCCCCCCCCTAAAAAGTTTTCTGCGGGCGCCCATGCTCGCAACCGTTTTTCCGGTCTATAACAGACTTGACTGTATTTTTTTTTTCTAATTTGTTCATCTCATAAAAATTCACGCCATTGTACTTTTGTAAAAACAAAAATATACTTTCATTTTTTTTAAAGAAAATATTAACCCATCTCCAGTTTTTCAACATGAAATTTGTACGTGTGTAAAATGATTGGGATTCGATATTAATAGGTTTACTTATGTAAATGTACACACGTTTTGTTAATGCCATTGTATTTCTTAATGGTAAACATATGTTTATTTGTAAAAAATAGAATATAACATGATTTTTTTTCACAAATGTTATACCATAGGATTTAAATATATTTTCCTCCACGTAAAAATGTACACATCCTATTTTCTATCTCTGATATGTATGAAACCAAGAAGGTTAATTATTTATCAAATTCATTTCTTTATTTTGAGACGTATCTTGTGCTGCCTGGGGCAAAGTGACCAAGCCCACCCCCCACAAGCCCATATTAAAATAAAATTAATAAAGTCTTCAACCAGATTTTTCAATACCAAAACTAACATATTTTGCACTTCATATGGTTTGTTATTATTTGGATGAGTTATAAGAGGGTTAGTGAATACTTAATGGCTATGAAGTTTCGCTGCACTGACAGACTTAAACGGCATTTTCATTTAAAGGTTATTATTACGTTATAAATTTAATAAAAGGATATTTTTGGACTTATTAAAAGTTAAAAATACAAAGCTAAATTTGTGTGGTTTTTTTTATTTTTAAAAAACAATCAATTATATTTTTTTAATTTTCCATTTAAGAAGGGTACAATACATTATCTGTTTTTAACGCGTGGTCATTAAATCAAAGAAACTTAACTTAAGAGCCTTGGTTAAAAAAGGCGATATATTTGAGTGTTTCTTTAGAACAAATTAATTTTTATTTTATTTCGCAATATTAACAACGCCCTAAAAGAGCTTAACAACGGATGTTTGGTGTGTCACTATAAATCTGATTACGGTGTAATTCTTTGATCATAATTGGTTTTATTTAATTTTTTTTCAAAAATTTCAAATACAAATGAAATGTTGAAGATAGTTCCTTAGTTGTTGCTTAAAACGTAATTGGAATTTATAATAGAAATATGTAAGCTCTTAATTTTTTTTTAAAAGCGGATATATAATATTATTTTAGCCTCTAAATTTATGCGATTTCCGTAAATTAATACAATATAACTATGACTGTTTTTAAGAATCCGAACGTATTTACATCTTTTCGGTTCTTTGGTGCGTTACGGTCAGCTTAGCTCATTCTTATATATATATATATATATATATATATATATATATATATATATATATATATATAGGGATATGAAGAGCGAACTGTACGCTTAGATAAAAGTCATAATTATGTTTGGAAACGTGAATAGGGAATAAAGGAAAAAAGTGAACACTACACAAGCATGCATCACATTCTCACTATACGGAACTGTAAAGCTTACAATAAAAGTAGACATGTCATTACATTTTTTTAAAAGTTCCTCATCATAAAACCAATTTTCGTCATCATCAACCAATCGTCATGAAACTCTATTTCAACATGGTCAAGGTCAACTCCATGTCATGAAACTCTATTTCATCGTAGTCAAATCCAAGCTCCAGGTCATGAAACTCTATATCATCATCGTCAAACTCAACTCCATGTCACAAAACTCTATTTCATCGTCGTCGAACTCAATCTCCTTGTCATAAAACTCTATTCCATCATGGTCAAACTCAACCCCATGTGATTAAACTCTATTTCATCGTCGTCGAACTCAAGCTCCATGTCATGAAACTCTATTTCATCATGGTCAAACTCAACTCCATGTCATGAAACTCTATTTCATCGTGTTTGAACTCAAGCTCCATGTCATAAAACTCTATATCATGGTCGTCGAACTCAAGCTCTATGTTATGAAGCTCTATTTCATCATCGTCGAATCCAAGCTCCATGTCATGAAACTCTATTTCATCATCGTCAAACTAATGCTCCATGTTATGAAACTCTATTTCATCGTCGTCGAACTCAAGCTCCATGTCATGAAACTCTATTTCATCATGGTCAAACTCAACTCCATGTCATAAATATCTATGTCATCGTCTTCAAACCCAAGCTCCATGTTATGAAACTCTATTTCAGCGCCTTCAAATCCAAACTTTATGTCATGCAACTCTATTTCATCATCTTCAAACCCAAGCTCCATGTCTTAAAACTCTATTTCATCGTCTTTAAACTCAAGCTCCATGTCATGCAACTCTATTTCATCGTCTTCAAATCCAAACTTTATGTCATGCAACTCTATTTCATCATCTTCAAACCCAAGCTCCATGTCATAAAACACTATTTCATCGTCTTCAAACCCAAGCTCCATGTCATGCAACTCTATTTCATCATCTTCAAACCCAAACTTTATGTCATGAAACTCTATTTCATCGTCTCCAAACCCAAGCTCCATGTCATAAAACACTATTTCATCGTCTTCAAATCCAAACTTTATGTCATGCAACTCTATTTCATCGTCTTCAAACCCAAGCTCCATGTCATGCAACTCTATTTCATCATCTTCAAACCCAAACTTTATGTCATGAAACTCTATTTCATCGTCTTTAAACCCAAGCTCCATGTCATGCAACTCTATTTCATCGTCTTCAAATCCAAACTTTATGTCATGAAACTCGATTTCATCGTCTCCAAACCCAAGCTCCATGTCATGCAATTCTATTTCATCGTCTTCAAACCCAAACTTTATGTCATGAAACTCTATTTCATCGTCTCCAAACCCAAGCTCCATGTCATAAAACACTATTTCATCGTCGTCAAACCTAATTCCCTCACCATTAAACCCAAACAAACCGTGTACAACCTTTCCCTTCGATTTCGAATCCTAAAGTCTTGTACAGGCTCAGAATGTGATGCCCCTTTAACTTGATCATCTGAATATATAGCAGGGAACGGATTTGACATCTTATTTAAAACCTTTTTATGACAACACTAGACTTCTGGTATTCATGAAAAAAAAAACGTGAACAGTTTCATACAACTCTACGTTTTGAGGGTTGAAAGATTAATTGACATTTTATTAATTTTTTTTAAAAAGGCATTTGTTTATGTTTAAAATAATTTGTATGATTGTGATCACTTTTAACAAACGACTCGAGACGTCTTATACCCATATGCAGTCATTTAAGGCGTTTATCTCATGAAATGAAGAAGTAGCATATACTAAAGATGAGTTATTAATTTTTACTTAAAAAATCATATTTGAAAACATACTCATTGGGATCCAGCTCGCTCAGCTAACGCTGGTATTTGGATGACAGCCAGGTCGTTGTAATTTATCGAATGCCTAGTACCTTTCAGTTACTCTTAATGATTCATCAGCCTTGACATTAAATGGGGTTGCAATAGTATGCTTAAATATAGTTGCTTGAAACTCACCTTTATTTGTCTGTTGTAAATACTAAGTAAAACATGTGAATTTTTCAGCGGTGAAGTCATGTTGTCATGAAGTCATGTTGACATGAAGTGATGCCGTCATGTTGTCATGAAGTCATGTTGTCTTGAAGTCATGTTGTCATGAAGTCATGAATTCATGTTGCCCCGGCACCTATTTTATGGCATGAGAAAAGAATGCTCAACTAACGATCACAAAACGCGGTTCTACCACCATGGCACTGTTTGACATGTTCGCATCACGGACTACAGTCAAAATGTTTACACAAAACAGAACCCCCCTTTTTTTATGACGGCTAAACATTTAACTTAAATCTTTCATGCGTGACAGATCTTTTAATAAAAGTGCACACACACACACACACTGTCACACCTACACACATTAAAAAAAAAGTATGATCCGTCCTGGTCCATAGACTCCATGACCCAGATGAACGAAATGAATAGAAGCACGAAACTATTTGCAATTATTTGTAAATCTCTAACACCCTGCCCCCCTCCCACACACACACCCATACAGGTATTGCACTATTAATCATCTCATAATGCATAAACATGTGTTCCCCAACGTGTTTTTTTGTGTGCCATGCCCCACGTAAGCTTTTCTAAAATTAGTATGCCCCTTATATTAACAGAGCCTTTAAGGAAGTTCTTCCTTTTTCAATTTTTTTTTCTTTAAAATTTGAAAGTAATTTAACTCTGATTTGACATGAGCACTCTTTTTGCCCTTCAAATGCGCCTCGGGACGTTTGGTTTTAAAATTTTCATTTTCGAATAGCCCCCCTTGACAATGAAATTGCCCCCCCTGACAATGAAATTGCCCCCCTTGACAATGAAATTGCCCCCCTTGACAATGAAATTGCCCCCATGACAATGAAATTGCCCCCCTATGGTGCGTGGACCCACGTTGGTAAACACTGACATAGACAAATGGTGTCACTTTTTCTTTTAAACTTTAAAAAAAAAATGTTTATCTCAATGAATAGTTTTAAAGTCTTCTTATATTACAACAAATTTGCTCTAATCATCATTACAAAAAAAAAGTGTTGGGAACAAAGCATTAATTTTTGAATGAGTTAACCTTGAAAGTTACATAATTTGTTTTTAAATAGCCATGAGGTACGTGGATTTACGCTTCTTTGAATAAATGTTTTGATAGGTTAGAATCCCATTTAGACATCACAATCGTATCCTGAGTGTCTATTTTACACAGATTCACACGCTATCTAGTAGACTACACTTTTGTGGACTTATTTCCCCTTTACTGAACTGAGCATTACAGTCATACACACAAGTTATTATTTGTGATGTAATAAAAGATAGAAGTATATATATATATATATATATATATATATATATATATATATATATATATATATATATATATACTCTTTCTGTCTGTGGTGTATTATTTATTTATAAACAGAAGGGTGCCATTTTTAGCCTTAGTCCCGGGCGCATCTTTTCAATCCCACAACTCTTTTTTTTTTTACGCGAATAATGCAGTGGTTCATTGATTCCAATCTCTGAACTAGATTCTATTTTATTTTTGTTTAATGAAAACTGAAATAACTATGAAATTTTGTTCCAAATGTTATTATTTTCGTTCACATTGCATAGGACTAGGAATATACTTGGCCGGAGATGTCTTTCGTCTAAGATCATCAACATCTCTAAATCGTCTTAGCGTGAGATCAATGGAAATTTTTCGCTGTCGTCATACAAAACACCTTGACAGCACTCGTGCATTCTTTGTAATATTATCATGTAACGTTACGACATGACAGCACTAAGGGACCATTCATAAATGGCGTTACATATCTGTGAAGATATGAGACGATGTGTGACGATCTGTGATGATCTGTGACGATATGTGAAGATCTGTGACGATCTGTGACGATCTGTGACGATCTGTGACGATCTGTGTCGATATGTGACGATCTGTGTCGATATGTGACGATCTGTGACGATCTGTGACGATCTGTGACGATCTGTGACGATCTGTGTCGATATGTGACGATCTGTGACGATATGTGAAGATCTGTGACGATCTGTGACGATCTGTGACGATCTGTGACGATCTGTGTCGATATGTGACGATCTGTGACGATATGTGACGATCTGTGACGATCTGTGACGATCTGTGTCGATATGTGACGATCTGTGTCGATATGTGACGATCTGTGTCGATATGTGAAGATCTGTGACGATCTGTGACGATCTGTGTCGATATGTGACGATCTGTGTCGATATGTGAAGATCTGTGACGATCTGTGACGATCTGTGACGATCTGTGACGATCTGTGTCGATATGTGACGATCTGTGTCGATATGTGAAGATCTGTGACGATCTGTGTCGATATGTGATGATGTCTGTTGAGGGGGTGTAATTAAATCTGATTTCAAATTAAAAAATGGAAACTTATATTATACAACTTCCACTTAACTTACAATAGTTTTTTAAATAATTTATTTACCTATTTCGAGTATTAAATGTTCATTCTTTACGTGTGTGAATGTTTGATTGTTAATAGTTTTTAATTTAATGTTTTCATGTTTTTATTACGATCGCCGTCGCAGTTACGGTTTTATTCCTTACTGTAGAGAACTGGTGGTAGACATGAACGCAAAGTCCGAAATGGGCTCTAAACCATAGGACAATCAGTTTGCATGACGGCAAGGAAGACCGGAGTCGATTATCCCGTGGCAGACGTAATAACTACTGTGGAGAAAGTAGAAGATCGAAGTCCAGGAGTTGAGGGAGCAAATTCGGAAGGAACAAATAAGAGTTGACTGAATTAGGGAGTGGGGGGGGGGTGATCATAGTAAATGTACTAGAGAAATGTTTCTGTCATTGATACAATAATTTGATACCAAATTGTAAGTCCTGAAGCGTAACCATTGATGACGAGGTTAACCTAAAAATTGTGAGAGCCAGGATAACCTATGGAAAATTGACTAAGAACGTAAGGACAAAGAGAGGTTTCAGCACTCCAACTAAACTGAAAGTATATCAGCCAGCTGTTCTCACTATGCTTCGCTACGCCTGTGAAACGGGAACGGTCTACCAACGCCATGCAAAACTCAGAAAAATCCTCAACTTTAAATGGGAGGACAGAGTCCAAGACACTCAGGTGCTCACACGGGCAAGTCTCCCGAGCATCTTTAACAGCTATATGAAGTTCCAACTTCGCTGGGCGGGACATGTTGAGCTCGAACAAGGAAAGCGGTCTGCTGCCAGGCAGAGGAAAAGTTTTTAAGACAACCTAAAAGTCTCACTGAAAGCGTTCGGCATAAACCCAGACACTTGGGAAGAAAAAGCAAAGGATCAAACATCATGGCGTTCCACTTGACACAGGAGCTCCATGCATCATGAAGTTGGCAGAACTGCGGCCGCAGAGCGCAAGAGCCATGCCAGGAAGGCCCGGTCTGACTCAGTTCCCGGAGATGCGCCATCATTCCCCTGCACCTACTTTACAAGAAAATTTCATGCTAGAATCGGCCTTCTGCGCACCCACAGACAGAACCAGCACAAACTTGATGATTAAAGCGGTCATGTTCGACTCCCGACTCACGAACAACAACAGTTCCATAACCCTTGGGATAGGAATATTTAAAAAATTTTAACTACGAGTTTTATAACCAACTGGCGCTAGTGGACGGGGCTAATTTATTTGCAAGTAGTATGCTAAAGAATTCAATGTATGTTGTGATTGTGTGTTGTTTAGAGATTATATGTGTTGCTCTTTCTATTATGCTTAGTATTTTGTTACCTATTTTGTGGGAAGGGGGAAATGACGTATTTTTGTTGTGTTATTGGCTGTGATTGAGTAATGGCAATTGAAGATGTACTTTAGCTGTGTTAATAAATATATTTATTATTTGAAGCATTGGTTTGTGAAGATAATAGAACTAACCCCTAGACGAAACGTAGCCATAGAACTTTTGGTTGAATCGGTTCGTAACATTTGGGAGGTTTGTCAAAGATTGGGCTCGTTAGAGATCATTGCATCGTGTGATTGCATCCTGATGACTACTGTGAGTGTATACTGTAGTCCTGAATCATGATTGAGTGGCCTTACGCGTTCCTTCCCTGACTACTTGCTGTTGGATCTGTGTGCTGTTGTGTTTGTTTCCCACGGGGCGTGTATCCTGAAATTATCATACCATATAGTAAAACATAATAATGGGTTCAAAAAGAAATTTGACGCAAAATTTGAACGCGTTAACTGAAAAAAAAAATTCGATAAAATTTCCGTTCCATCAATTTTCAAACAATTTCCGGATACGTTATTTCATTTGTAGATTTTTTTTTTTTCATTTCCGGGGTCATGCAACGTCATTTAGGAAATGCCCGATATCATTCCATGCGGTAGCCGACATTTTGTTTGAGAAATTTGAAACTGAATAGTCCTGTGATACAAGGTAAGAATGGTCTAGAGTTTAGTGGTTAAACCTCTGTATTTTATCAATATTGAAATGTACCATGTTGTATGTAACACGTATATTATTAACAATGTATGTAACCAAGCAAACAAGACCCTAGGGTTCTTAAGGTGAAATCTAAAGATTGGCAACTCCTGTGTGAAAGAAAGAGCCTATAAAGCCTTTATGCGTCCGATTTTAGATTATGCATCTTCAGTCTGGGACCCATTTACCCAGAAGGGCATTGACAGGTTGGAGGCGGTCCAGCGACGAGCAGCACGCTTTGTCCTAAACCGCTACAGGAATACCTCTAGTGTTGGCAGCATGCTAGAAACACTAGGCTGGTCACCATTGGAGAAACGACGACGACAATCCAGGCTCTCCATGATGTACAAGATAAATAATGGGCTGGTCCACTGTTCCAGTATTAAACAGAAACTCGTCCCTCTCCCCCATAGACAGCGACGAGGCCATGACAGGCAATTCAGGCTCATACCAGCAAGAAGCCAGTATAGGAGCTGCTCATTCCTGCCCAAGACAATCAGGGACTGGAACCATCTTTCAAAAGGAACAGTTGAGGCGACAACACTAGACACATTTGTGTCTATTGCCTCAAGCCTTCAAACCCCTAGTGCATGATTTCCTCATCAACACCAGTAACAGAAACATTGCAAATCCCATCTACATGCATAGGAGCCAAAATGATCAATAAATTGATCGTGGGCCCTTAAGATATAGAAAAGAAGAAGAAGACACGTCAAAGGATAGTAATAATATTAATAAAAATTACATTCCTTAACTGAGTTTCGTGGAAAAAAATGG